AAACATACAAAAATAGACATGTATTTATTCAACACAAAATAACAAACAAGGGCCCATTCATACCTCATATACAAATATAAAAACATACAAAGGCTAATGAAATAGACCTAACGCGTTTCGGCCTCTACAGGCCTTCCTCAGAGGTCTAATACAAATAGAACATGTTGGCTGATATGTAAAAATATATACAATCATACATATACAAAATATGAAATAAAGACCAGAAAACAATTGTTCCAAAGTTTAACCACTGGGCAAAGAAAAGAAATACAAAAATACAAATGAAGCCTCCAGTGCAATCACATGACCAGTAGTATTTCTCTCTGGTCAACTATATATTCTCCTGAGATTGTGCAGCCAAATGTTCCCAATAAAATGTTCCTTAAGTTAAAAGCAGAGGATCTGCACTGTGGCCACTGAAGTTAAGCTGTGGCCATCGTTTTCGTGGCTGGCTGTAACTCCCACGGCAGCTGTTTTGTTACTGCACCCACTGTGCCATGTTGGAATTCCATATACGCCCACAGGCTCAAAAAGGTCGGGGACCCTCGAGTAAGAGGGGTGGGGATGGCCCTAAATGGGGCGCTGAACCACCCACTCGAGGAGTCCAGGGGTCTGTGAGGAGGAGGAGGCTGGTTCCGACAGAGTTGCTGATAGAGGTCTCCCCCGGGACCACTGGCTGCCCAGTAAAATACAAACTTGAGCATTCGTACCACCGAGGAAGGCTTTGGTGTAGTGGTTACGTTTGGTGTAGTGGTTAAGTGCGCAGACTCTAATCTGGGAGAACCGGGTTTGATTCCCCACTCCTCCACTCGCAGCTGCTGGATGACCTTGGGCAAGCCATAGTTCTGTCAGAGCTGCTCTTGAAAGAGCAAGTGGAGGAGTGGGAAATCAAACCCAGTTCTCCCAGATTAGAGTCTGTGCACTTAACCACTACACCAAACTGGCTTAGCAGTGTCTAACATTAACATAATAATGATGGTGTTAATATTGGGGCCCGGGCCTCAATTTATTGGGGCGGCTCCCTAGTCGAAGGCCTGGTGGAAGAGCTCTGTCTTGCAGGCCCTGCGGAACTGGTAAA